AAAATATTTAGGTATTTGAGAGGATAGTAAGTTTGAAGAGATGGAGGTCAATATAATTATTTGAATTGTCTGTTTCAATTACATTCGGCGCTATTGACTTCAAATATATTTTATTTACACATATTTGACAAAATAAACTTACTAGTTTGGTGAAAACCAAGACTATACATTTAACAAAACATTCGAACATCTTTATTAATCTTTATTGATATTTACCCAGATGTTAAAAATGTTTATATATTACGATGAAGAAAATTAACCCTATATTACGGCAAACTACCATTCGAGTGCCACTCAGTTTATGGTTTTCTTTTTAGTTTTTCAAACTTTTATTTTAAACTATTCTAAAACATGAAACTATTGGTGATTATAATTTTGCAAATTTCATTTAATTTTGTAAAATGCTATCCATATAGACTCTATGAACATATTAATGATCGTTATCGATTTTTTTCTACAGCAACTGTTTATAAGTATGTGGCACCCGTTGTTCGTTTTCCAGAATCGAGTAAGTATTACTATTTTAAATATTCAAAAATAATCATTTTAACGTGGTGGATATAATTATTAGACTGCGAGGTATTACAAATATGGATGGTTGTTAGACATGGTACAAGGTTTCCTTCAAATAATATAATCGCCAATATTTCGGAATTACATAATTATCTTTCAATAAATAAAATGACATCCCAGTTGAAAAATGAGGAAGTTGATAAATTAAATTTATGGACTTTTAAATTGAAAGATGAACATGCGGAAAAAATAATTGAACAAGGTTATAATGATATGACGTTTTTGGGAAGAAATATACGGAACTTATACAAAGATATATTTAAGGACAATTTTAATTCCCAAGATTTTAAGGTAATATTTATCAATATACCTATTTTGAAATATATATTTGGGTGCATGTAAACTCCACCACTGAAAAAAATCAGGTAAAATTTAGTTCATGTAAACTCCGCCAGTGAAGAAAATCAAATAGTAGTATAAAATTAATGTTATAATTATTAAAAAAAAAATTTTAATATAATATATCGTTCACATTAAATATTTAAATCACAGTAAAAAAATCATGATAAATTATCGTTATACCTAATAATCCAAAAATATATAGCTATGTCATGCATGTAAACTAAAATGATGCGATACAATTTGTAAATATTCTAAATCTTGTATTACTCCATCTATTTACAACATCCTGTAACACTGTCATTTTTTTTTTTTCGAATTTTTTAACTTGTTTACTTAAGATATGCAACTTAGTTATATAAGTATGGGTTTGAAATTCGATAAGAACTTTACTAAAAATATGAACATTCAATGACTTTTATAAAACGAATTTCTTGGATGACTATGAAAGGATTCACAGGCAAAACACAAAAAAACTGGCGGAGTTTACATATACCCAATACAGGTAAGAAAAAAAAACTGGGGGAATTTCAAATTCCAAATCTTAAAAGAAATACTAATCGTACAGTGCAATTCAAATATGTAATTTAATTTTTTAATTTTAATTTTTTTTTTTTATAGTGTAATGTAAATAAAATTTCATTTTTTACTCATTTTTTAATAATAATTTGAATGTATTTAATAAATAATGCATTTTATGAAAAATCTTTTTTTGATATTTTTAGGGCATTTAAATCCGAGTCCTAGTAATTTATAATAAGAGTGTGTAACTTAACAAAGAAGTTACAACGATTTTTAAAATGTAGAAGGTAGTTGGTAACACTGCCAACTCCCTCTGCTACCACTGCTGTCTACACTACTAAATTAAAATTATTACAGTTACGCTTACGACGCTGCTTATGTTATGTTATTCTTACTACTTATGTTATTTAATTAATAAAGTTAATTAATAGTCTAATTAGACTATTATTAAGTTGTAAGAGATGTAGGGGAGGACCGAGTAATGGAGATTAATGAAAATATGACAATGTTGGCGTATGCGGATGACGTAGTCGTATTAGGAAATAGTCGTCAGGAGGTTGCACATTCTGTAGAAAAATTAATTGCATCCAGTCGGAATATGGGACTTATAATTAACGAAGCAAAAACAAAATATATGCTTTTAGCACGCCATGCGCTTATTATGAACGATTTAGTAGTCGGGCCATTCACCTTTGAACGGGTCGATGACTTCAAATATCTAGGAGTAAACATCAATCATAAAAACAACATGCACAATGAAATCAAACTTAGGATAAATTCGGCGAATCGTGCATATATCTCGCTGAATAAGCTGTTAACTTCGAGAATGTTATCATGAACGACAAAGGAAAAAATGTATTTAGCTTACTTACGTCCAATATTGACATATGCCTGCGAGACGTGGTCGACAACCCAAGGAGATGAAGAGAAACTTCTTATCTTCGAGAGGAAGGTGCTGAGGAAAATATACGCCCTGCGAGAAATGAATTAACAGGAGATTATGAAAATTCCAACTTAGAATCACTTTATAATAAACCAAATGTTAAATACTTTCTAAAATCTAAACGTATGGAATGGGCCGGTCATGTATGGCGAGCTGAGGGAAGCATAATTCAAAAAGTACTGAATAATAACCTTACTGGCAAGCGTCCCAGGGGAAGACCTCGCCAACGTTGGCGGGATACATTAAATGCAGATATAAGAATGGTGGACGAAGCAGCAAGTTTCGTGACTGCCATTGATCGTGACAAGTGGAGAGGTTTCGTAGAAGCTGCGAAAGGCCTTAAGAGCCCATAAAGCAAAAAAAAAAAACTATCATATAAATATATTTAACTCATGGTATAAGTTTAGGTAGATATGCAATTTTTGATATGGACCATTTAGGGCCCCAAAATATTTTTACCCTGGGCCCCCTAATGTTTAAATCCGGCCCTGCTCGCGGTTGCACTCACAACGTGTGACCGTCCGATGTAAGTGTTTAGTGACAAATATCGGTAGCAGCACATGTGTATTTCATTGGTTTTTCAATTTATTTATTTGTGTTTGTGCTGGTTTTTTTATACTTATAAAAAGTATATAATTATATAAAAATATACACTTATAAAAAGACTCGTTGGTGGCTAATGATATCTAGTGTGTGTGACCGTACTTTACCCTGCTTTTATAGGATAGTTATTAAGTTAAGGTACTTGGTTAAATACCTATACATAATCATAGGTAGGTACCTACTTACACTAAAAGTATAATATATTGGTTTAAGAGTAGGTACTATGATGTAAGCACTGTGAGAGGCCAAGAATCTGAAGCGTCACCCTTCCACCAACAATATACTAATTTTTTTGTGTTGTTCATTGTACCTACCTGATGTATATGATTTATCGATAATTTATGATTATTGATTGTAGTGGTCCATATGCAAGGTTTCATATTTCATATAATATAGTAATATAGTATGTTCACTTAGTTATTTAAAACCTAATTGTATGTCTATATTCTACTGAGTGGTACTAATTTATTTTCATTTTTCAATCCCCCCCCTTCCAATTTAGAAATCCTCCCTACTGCGTATACCACTGAAGAGTAGTACCTCTCATCCGCTGACTTTAGTGTTGGTATAATATCATATATGTATATTATACAGAGGAAAGGCTATCATAAAATGTACAATATTATCATCACAGATTTGAAACAATTTAAACAGTCGAGATTCGACATTAGTTGCTAATTAAGTAGGGTCCCGACAGGTTAAACTTGTAGCTAGGTGGGTTAGGATACCAAGATCAGTTCCCGCATTGGCGTATAAAAATTGTGATAATTTGTGCAATAGAATTCGTATGAAGTCTCTTGAGCTTAAATTTTGAATTTTTTTACAGAATTATTAAGAATATTTAAGTAGTGTAACGTTCCATAGATGACTAATTGCACTTAACGAGAAATCAATGTAACATCTGCGATAACATTTGAATTATAAAAATTTATTCCCTATCACTTAACATAGATATCATATAGTAGTTACTTTGTGATGGTACTTCTATATACTTTTTGAGACATCACACAGATGAACTTCACAAAACTGGGCGTTAAGCGTCTGTGTGTAGTCTGTGTGTAGTGAGTGTTCACTGAGGGAAAATGATAAACTTCTTATTTCACAGTATGACTGTTATGTGATAGATATGTAACGAGATTTTGCACATAGGGTATATATTTATCAATATTATTTTTACATAATTGGATTCATGTTTAGAATTTTTTTTTTTTTTTCATTGAAGAAATCTACAATCTATACATATAATTTTTAATAAGTAATAATTTATAATAAGTAGGTTTGATAAGTGACAGTAAATAAAAAAAAACAGATAACATGATTCATGGGATTAGGAAGGATACCCAATGGTAACACCCTATAAAATGACAGAATAACATTGATGAATGGAAAAGAGAGAGAAAGAGAAAAAATATATATATTTAAATATTTTTTTTTTTTTGGTTTGAGGGTTTTACCTGGTTATGACCACCAGCACTTATTAAACTCTTTTACTATAGAAGAAGATCTCTACACCATTGCCTTTTAAGTCTACGGCGCGGGTTATTAGGGAGTGTTTTCGTTGATAATTTAGAGATTAGTGGATTTGTATGTTGTTGAAGTTTGTTGTGAAGTCTGGTGTAGTATAGTTTGGAGATTTGGTTAATATTTTGGATTTTAAGATCTTTGTGGAGAGAATTGTCGGTTAAATACCAGGGTGCAGATGTAACTAGGCGAAGGTATATTGATTGGAAGGCTTGGATTGTACGGGTATTTGAGGGTTTAGCGGCTCCCCATAATTGAATGCCATAAGTCCGTAGTGGCCTGAGTAAGGACTTATAGATTAGTAGTTTGGTATTTATATTCATTTTAGATTTAAGTAATGGTCTTAGGAGGTGGAGTCGGGAATTAAGGGCTTTTCGATTGGCTTTTAGGTGAGGATTCCAGGTAAGTTTACTGTCTAGGATGAGACCAAGATATTTAACTTCTGAGTAGGAGGGAATTGGGATGTTTTTCATTTTGACTGAGGGGCAAAAGCTTTTCTTTAGGGTGAATGTAATGAAGGAGGACTTGGATTCATTAATTTTGATCTTCCATCTTTTTGTCCAGAGTTTGATTATGTTGAGGTGTCTTTGTAACATACTAGAAATAGTGATTGGGTTTTCATTGGAGGCCACAATTGTTGTATCATCCGCGTAGGAACCGAGTTCGGTGAAGGAAGTTTTAGGAATGTCGTGCGTAAAGATATTGTATAAGAAGGGAGCAATATCGCTGCCTTAGGGAACTCCGGCTAAGACGTTAAAGTAGTTTGAATGGCTCGAGTTCTGTCGTGCGACAAAAGTACGATCGCTCAAATATGATTTGATCAATAGAAAGTATGGGGCAGGCAGAAATTTTTTAAGTTTGAAAAGTAGGCCATCAAACCAGACTCAATCAAATGCTTGTGCAACGTCTAAAAAGACGGCAGCGCAGTAGTGTTTTTTCTCTAGAGAAACTGAGATGGTGTCAACTACTCTATGGAGTTGGTGAATGGTAGAGTGATTGGGTCTGAATCCAAATTAATTGTCGGGAATAACTTTTGCCGTAATAGCTAGTGGGATAAGCCTCTTTAATAGGATTTTTTCGAATACTTTCGATAATGTAGGGAGTAAACTTATAGGACGATAAGAAGTTACTTTTTCAGGAGGTTTGTTGGGTTTTGGAATCATTATTATCTCTGAAAATTTCCAGGTTAGGGGGTAATAGGATAAACGCAGCATTGCGTTATAAATATAGGAAAGTAATATGAATATGAGTTATGTTGTTGGAGTGCTTTCCTAAATTTATTATTTAGTTGATTGTAAGTGTGTTTGTCGATGGGGTATTTGTGCCTTTGCCACCGAGATCTTGCATTTCGTTTTTCTCGGAG